CCGCCCGTGCGCTAAGTTGGACGCCCGAGTTATCCGGGGTAACTCGGGTCCGGGGTAACTCGGGTTCGGGTTTCCGAAAAACGAACCCGAGTTAGCCCTGACCCGAGTTACCCCTGATGATTCGGGGCTCTGGACGCCCGAAATATCCGGGGTAACTAGTGTCCGGGATAACTCGGGTTCGGACTCCCGAAAAACGAACCCGAGTTAGCCCTGACCCGAGTTACCCCTGATGATTCGGGGCTCTGACTAAGGGTCTCAACGCCACATCCGCACTGAGGAACGACGCAGGTGAGCAACGCGAAGAGGCGCGGCGCGCAGAGGGGGGGCAGGGGGAGGGGGGGGGCTCCTCAGGAGGAGTCTGCTCCCGAGAAGGCGCGGGCCGCGTCTGGAGATGGAATCAAGGCGCCTTCTAAGAAGCAACCTCCTTCTAAGAAGCCTTCCCCCCTGCCCCGGCCTCCCTCCGCGTGCCACCAGAAGGCGAAGAGCCGCGGCGATCACACCCGGCGGGAGGGGAGGGCACCCAGCGTGCCCCATTGAGCAGTGGACAGTCGAGCACAGAAATCAGTGGCCAAAAGGGCAAGTGAGCTCCACCATCGAGAGCCAACGGGTCGGAGAGAGGCCGCGGGAGGCTCAGGGAGCTGGCAGGCCCAAGAGGAAGCAAGGAGATGCCGACGGGCGTCGTCTCGCTCAGTGTGTGGCAGCGGGGCGAGAGCGCCTTCACCAGCAGGCGGCACACTGCGCACCCAGCAACTCCACAGACGCAGCGGCGAGGACGGGACCGGGAATGGGCAGTCGCCGGTGCGCGGCGAGGACAGCGCCACAGGGCAAAGAGCTCCTGCGTGCCAGGCGATGGGCGCCCGCCCCCGCCACAAGGCGAGAAACCGTAGTTGTGACCACCCCGAGGCCCGAGGCCTGGGTCCGGGGTCCAAGACCGACAGGCGGACCAGAATCGTGCGGGGGAGCACGGTCGCCACAAGCCAAGACCCAAGACCGAGAATCGTGACCTGACCCGGACTAGCCGAACCGAAGCAATCCGCGATCCGAACTGACCGAACCGAACAATTAGGCCGACCGCTGACCCGAACTGGCCGATTGGGCCGGACTGGGCAAACCAGACCAGCCGGCCCGGCCCAGCCGCAACACGGCTGTCGCCGAAGCGCGCGGCGAGCATGAGGAGGACTGCGGGAGGAGGGCCGCTGCTTGCCTCTGACGCGGTCGACACGACGCTGGTGGTGGCGCGGGCTGGGCCCTCTGTAGGGTCTTGGCGATGCACGCGGGGGAGAGGCCCCCCCTCCGTGCCCGGCGGGCGGTTGTTTGGGAGGGTTCCTGTTGGCGGACCGGTCGACCCGCCCCGAGGCCTGGGGCAGGGGCCAAGTTTCCCTGTTCCGACTGCGCATACCACGACGGGGCCTTTTGTGGAGTTCCAGGGCTTCTACGACACGCGTCCGCGGATATAGAAACCATCAGCGCAATGGAAAGGGATGGGGGGGAGGGGTAGGATGTCAGATTGAGTTAGCCAAGCCGGGCGAATCAGAAGGGCCTGCCTACTCCCACCCTCCCTCCTGAAACATGAGAATCCACCGACCCCCGCCTACTGGGAGTGAAATGGCGTGTCAGACAATTGGCTGTCCCCCTCCTTTTCCCCATCCCCCAGGGTCTAACATCCCGTTTGAACGGGGGGGACCGGGCTCCTGGACGCTCCCTTGGGGCCTCCGGGGCCTCCAAAAAGCTCCAAGAAGGCGCCAGAGACAGCAAACAGCGCGCCAAGATAGTGCAAAAGAGCGTCGAGACGGCCCAGGGTAGCCTTATGACGGTCTAAGAGATGCCGTCGAAACGGCTCGCGAAGCCCCCCCAAACGCCCCATGAGGGGTTCCCAGATGGCTGCCGAGAGGGCCCCCCCCAAGAAGCTCCCAAACGGCCCCCAAGAAGCCCGCCCAGATACCCGCAAGAGCCCTCCAAGAGGCCCCTAAAGGGCACCCCGAGAGCCCCTCATGTGCATCCAAGAGGCTCCTGACCCACTAGATCTAACTTCCTCGATCGTCGCAAACTCTCACTGCTTCTGGAGGTCGCCTTCCACAAGCATCCCACCAAACAATCACACTCTACGGTATCCTACGCGAGCTCCGCCAGTCCTGCTACGAAGCCCTCTCATCTACCTTTCCCACTTCAATAGAGTAATGCAAGGAACAACAGAAGCCACTAGACAACTTCCGTACGTTCCTCCCTCCTTTCGGGGGTCGGCGGAATAGCGGAAGCCTCTTGAATCCGCCCGCCCACCTGGCTGAGGGGCGTGTGGGATTTTACTACAGAGCTTTAGCCCCCCCCCTTTTTCCCCCCCCAGAAGCCTCCGCCATTCCGCCGCCCGGCTGCGGCAATGCCTTTTTTCGGTTTCCAAAACGGCTCCACGACGGCGTCCAAGATAAGCTCGATCTTGGTATCGTCCTGAGGACGCTGCCGGGGCGCCTGCGGGCTCCATTTCGGCCCCGTCATGGCCCCTTCT